TCAACAGCCTCAAGGGATTTGGAGAAGTAATCCCTAATGAGTAGCTTGTGAAGAAGATGATCTACTCTCTTTCAAAGTCTTGGAAATCGAAGAAGATGTCGATTATCGAAGCTAAAAACCTAAAGTCTCTCACTCTCGACGAGCTTATTGGTTATCTTCTCACTCATGAGTTGATGGTGAAGGAAAAGGAAGATGGTGAAGAAAAGAATGATAAGAAGAAAGAAATAAAAAAGAAGAAGGTATACATTGCCTTTAAATCAACCAATGAGAGCAATCAAGATTCAAATGAAAAGGTGAATAAAGATGATGAAGAAGAAGAAGAGATGGCCAAGCTCTTCAAAAGATTCAAGAGATTCATGACTTCCAAGGAAGTGAATCATGAATCAAGTAAGAAGAAGAGTCTCCTAGTGTACTTCGAATGTCAAAGAATGGGGCATGTCAAGTATGAATGTCCCCTCATAAGAAAGAAGGGATCAAGTAAGAAAAAGTCATTTGTGGTTGCTTGGAGTGATGAAGATGAAGTAGTCAACCTATGCCTCATGGCCATCGAAGAAGATTCAATTGTAACTTCTAACTCAAATGAATTTGGAATTTGAGACCATCAATTCCAAATATAAGAAATTAATTTCAAAATTTAAAGTTGAAAATGATTTGATTTTGAAAGCAAAAGTTGATTTTGAAAGTTAAAATGAAAATTTGAAAAATGATTTAGAGCTTTCAAAAGTCAAAATCAATGATTTAGAAAAAAAATTAATTTGAAAGTTAAGTTTGAGAGCTTAACAAAAGAAAAAGAATTAATTTCTAAAAAACAACTCATTATGTTTAAAAATGACAAAATGCTCACATTTCCATTTTCATGGTCATATAGAACATGCTTGTCCTATAAAGAAAATAAAATATTTAAAATTAGACAAATATGGGTTCCTAAGGGGCCAAGGGGCATTGAGACTAATGTTCAAGGATCTAAAGCAATTTGGATACCAAAATCTACTTAAATGTCTCTTGTAGGTGTGTGGGAGAAATGGTGACAAAGTGAAGAAATCAAGATGCTTCAGCCACACTTGAAAAGGAATGTGTAGCCTCTAAGCTTAATATTTTTGTTTTTTAATTATTTGGTTGCTCATTTTGATTTAAGCATGCATGAGTTTTGATTTTAAATAGATTTTATGTTTTCTATCTCATGTATATTAAAAAAGGTGTAATGATTAACACTTTAAAGATTTAATGATTTTTCATAATTTTTGTTCTTCGAAATGAATTTTGGTCAAAATTAGTTTTAAATAAAAATGATATCACTCTAACAATTGATATCAATTTTCAAAATGTTTTGATTTTAAATTTTTGACCTAAATTTAAATGTTTATGCATGTAATTTAAAAATGCAAATGATATCTCTCTAACAATTGATATCAAAATTTTCAAATGCATAACATTTTTGGAAAGCTTTATGCATATACACTTAATTTCAACATTTGGTATTGCATAAAGAATTTTAGACTTTGATATATTGAATTTCATGTGCTATTAACATGTTTGTTATTATTTGTTGAAATTCAATTTTGCTTAAGTGTCAAGCCTTTAAAGTCAAATTATGTTTGGAATGTAATTTTTGAGGGGTAGCTTTGATTTTTCAAATTATTTTACTTTAAAATTTACCACTTACTCTCGAATGTTATTTTAAACTTTAAAGGTGAATTATTTTTTATATAATAAAAGGGGAGAGAAGTATGAGTTTGAAAAATTCAATTTCTCAATGAAAAAGGAGAGCTAATCATTTTCCAACAATTGATATATTTTTCATTAAAAGTTTTATTAAGGGAGAATTTTGCAAAAAACATTTTTTTCAAATGTTTTGTTATATCAAAAAGGGGGAGATTGTTGTACTATATTTTGATATAACAATTTAAGGCAAAATGTTACAAGGACTTGAATTGAATTTATTCATAGTTTTCAAAAACAATTCAAAGTTCATTTAACTTGGAGCACAAAATGTTTTTATGAATAAGCAGTACTGATATTGTTCTTACAGTATTGATATCTCATGAACAATATCGATATTGTTTATATGGTACCGATACCAAAGGAAATAGAAATATCGATACTCACTAGGTAGTATCGATACTACCAACATTGCTCAAATTCCAGAATGCAAAAATGGTACCGATACTACTTTACATAGTAGTATCGTAGTATCGATACCATTAGGCCCTAACTGCTAGTAACGTCTAGTTGATTTAAAAATAACAAAGGTAGTACTGATTCTCCCTTTAGGAGTACTGATACCCTCTGTACTGGACAATTTTATTTTGCAGAGAAAACATCCCAAAACGGCTCCAAATCATCCCCAACGACTATAAACGAGCACAACTTCATTCCAACATATAAATATAAGTTGAGGTCACTTGAAGAAGGTTTAGAACACCTATCTAAGCAATCAAACACAAGAGAAGAGTTTTTCAATCTTATTTTATCTCTCTTGTAAATATTTGTGTTTTTAGTGAGATAAATTTGTAAACACCCTACCTTTGATAGGTTTTATTGTTTACTTCTTTTTACCTTTTGTAAAATGGGATTGGTTCTATCTTAGCCAAGTGAAAAGATAGAGAGTGTAAAGGTTATCTCTTGATCCTTGAAAAAGAAAGAACAAATTAGTGAATTTGTTAGAAAATCCTAAGTGAGAAGCTTAGGTAGTCGAGGTAGACTTAGTTGAGAAGTCGAACCACTATAAATCCTTGTGCAAAAGTTCTCTATCTTTTTCTCTCCTTACTCCCTAAACATTTTTTTGCCAATTCACCCCTCTTGCAACTTCTTCGGTTCTTCAATTAAGCCTATTCGATCCTAACAATATGAATACATTTGCATCTCTTTAGAATTCATTTAAGAAAGATTTGTGAAGGTGAACTATTTAACTTCAGAAAGCAGTCAATAATAAGGAATTGACATCCATGAAGCCATCCTATCAGAATTTTTGATAAGTACCATATTGATGGATATGTTAGTTCGATTTGACTTGGGAGCTGAATAAGTTGTTAGAAATCTCGAATATCGATGATCCTTATTAACTCATCTGACCAACATTTCTTCGAAAATTAAAGTGACTAAAATGCCCTACTAGCCTAAATATTGAAATCTAGAATAACACTAGGGTCACAGTTCCTGAGTACCCTTATTATTTATTTGAATCCTAAATGGTCCTAATATATCATATTTCAAATTTCTAATTTGATATGTTAGTTATCGACCCCTTTTAAATAGGGGACTCATTTATGAAATTAGTTCGAAATTTATTTGAAGTTATGCCTCCCTTTCTCTTATTTTTATCAAGTACTTCCAAGAAATAAATTGAGCCCTTTAGTGTGTTCGATGCACATTTGGTTATTTTCTTAGATTATGAGACTGTTTTCTCTGATTTTAAAAGTACAACTCTATTATCTGAAACAAAAACACAATCTCTAATTTCTATTTTCTGATACAAAATATGTATGTATCATGATTTTATGATATTATTGTTTTACTATTCTAAGGTTGATATTATTGGAGGAGGTATTTCAGGCTTAATCTATGACTTGTAAGACTTTATTGCATGCTCCTCATTTTTTGTGCATAGGGTAAGTCCTTACCGCAGGTCATTGTGTTGTATGCAAGAGGTCTTTACCGTATTTCTTTATGCTATAAGTATAAGATCCTTACCGGGTGTACAGATTAGTGTATGATTCAGGGGAACCTACATATTCTGGTGTTCGGATAGAGGGCAATCAGATGATTTTTTTAAAATTAAAATTTACCTTCTCTTTAAAAATCTTTTTTACTGAATTAAATTATTTCAATATGAAACTATATGTATATTTTTCTCCGCACTAATGTGTTACACTAAACTTTTCAACTCAAAATCCAATATCTATCTCTGTTAATTCTTATGATCTATATACTTTCCGACTGTTACTTTAAGGATCATTAATGAAATTTCAATTCTTTTCTGGAGCCCGTAGATACCTGCATCACTAAGGAATTTCATATCTTATCATATATTTATTTGACCTTTAGCATCATCCGATAGTTCAGTATTACTGAGCTTCCCAAAGCTCACTATATTATATATTACTTACCATTTTAGGTCAAAGGAATTGATCATGTGCTTTTTATCGACATCAACAATGGGAGTTCCATCGGTGTTGCTTGTGGAGTACGGTACATGTGTACTTAGAGGGCATGTAGGTTAAAGATTGCTTTTATATTAGAGTATGAAACTTATTTTAATATTGTGTATTATCAAATTCTGTTTTAATAACTGAATTTATTATATGTTAAAATTATTTTACGAATTTAAAATTTTAGTGGTTAAAGTTGTGTTTTCTCAAATTTTCAGAGATGGTAACTCCGGTGGTCCTAATGTGACACCTTGAATCGGATCAGGTCACTCATATCAATCTGAGAGTGTTACATCTATCATGTTATTAGTCATCGTGGACTATCAAGTCAATATTGTTGATTGCTAATTATGGACTGTTACATCAACATCGATATCGAGTATAAAAATAATTTAAAAGCTATATATATATATATATATATTAAATTGAAAACCTGATCTACTATTAAACCTTAAAATTATAACAACTGATTTTATTAAATCAACAAGAAACTAGTAAGAAAAACATTTTAAGCAAGTTAAAAACAAGAACAATCCGTGGCTTCCTCATAAAAAATAAGTGAAAAAGACAAATATCAAATTAAAAAAATATTCGCGTTTTTTAGGTTGGCAATAGGAATCAGCTTTTTCCATTTTTATCCCTTTTCCATAATCCATTCCTTTTATATATTTAATAAAAGTATTTGATTCATCATGACTATTAAAAAAGCCGTTAAAAAGTATCGAACATTTTTATCGGTTTACAGCTAGCCTGGACTGGAGGGTTCGGAAACTTAAAATCCAATTAGACTCTTCCATTAAATCAATTAGTGATGGTGAAAAGGCAACCAGTCCCCTGTCGCTTGTTCGAGACATTTGCAGGATGCTCTCTGACGACTGGGATTTACTCTTTATATGGGTTATAAGAGAAGTAAATGCAGCTGCTGATGCTATGGCAAAGTTGGCTGACAAAACTACCTTTTCAACGACAACTTATGAAGATCCTCCCCCGCATTATGTCCGTTTCTCTCTCGGGATAGGCATGGTCCACCTTATGTGAGACTAGTTTTGTAATCTTTTTTTTCCTCTCTTTCAATCCAAAAAAAATTTAAAATAGAATAAATTAATCTATCAATCAATATTTGAGACGTGATTTAATTTTTATTTTTAATTTAAATAAAAATAAGATTCATAAATTTAATAAACCCTTATATTTTTAATATTTTTTCCAGAAAATACCTTAAATTTTGTATAATTCTAAAATATATTTAAAATCATTAATCCCAAAATCAATTTCACTGTTGATCATTATATTTGTCGATGATCAGTCATTCACCTACCGACAACCATGCAATTCGATTGGAATTTAAGAATATGAGTATTGAGATTTAGGGATTAGATTTAAGGGATGGAAACTATAACAAAGAGATGATCAACCAATGATAGGTAGTAGGCAGTCGACGAAGACTGGTAGACAACAACAACGAGAGATAATCAAAGATAAAATTGATACATTCGGATTAAAGATTTTTTTTTTTTTGAGATTTTAATTTTTTGTGTTTTTTGAAAAATAATAATAATTTTAATTTTTTTAAAGTTAAATTTATAAAAAAATTATAAAAGTACCACATATCATATTTTAAGAGGTTGATGATTCTTTTTAACGGTTATTACATATTATTTACGTAAAACAATAATGTCGAAAACGTTAAATAAATTTTGAAGAAAAAAAAGTTAGGCACCTAAACGATAAAATAGACATAATTTAGGCATTGTTTTATAATTAAGCCTTAGTTAAATCTGTTCCCCATACGTTTAATATCATAATTACTCTAAATAATAAATAAATTTCCAAATCCTAAACCCCAACGTTAGAATTTCATAGAAACATAAAGGATTTTAGACTCATTTTTTTATGATTAATGGCTGCGAGTGCGAATCCGACGGGGAATAATCAGGAAGGTTCGTCTAACCAGAACGTAACGCGGTCTCCTCCACCACCAGCCAATGGCGTTTCCGTCAATACGAACAACAGCGGGGTAATACATCCTCCGCGGCCGCTGCCGTATCGTCTGATACGCAGTCCGCGTTAAGGCATAACCCTAGCATCTCCCTCGATTGGATTCCTGAAGAACAAATGATGCTAGAAGATTTTGCTAGTCAAGTAAGCTCCGTCTCCGTTTCATAGTATCAAATTGTGGTTGCAGATTTTGTTGCGGATGCAATGTCGCGGTTGAGGATGCTGCGGACGTTACGTAACGTGTTGCGGTTGTCGCGGGTGTGATCTCTTCCTCAAAAATCACAATACGTCTAAAATATTATATTTATACATTTTACAGTTATCTTTTAATATACTAATATTAATATACTCTTTTAATATTTTATTTTGAAAATAAAAATTTAATTTCATAGATACAAATTTATTAAAAGCAAATATAAATCATAGAAGTATTATCATACTGAATAATGGATAATAATAATTATAATGTTAATGAATAACGTATAAACATTATCACTAAAATAATATCAAATTTTTTATATTGTAACATAAAAATATTCATTTTGCATACCTTAGAAAGAAAAAAAAATACATAACTACAAATATAAAATTCTATATCTTACAGTTCACCACCAAAATGAATGGCGTGGCGAATCTAAATCATTTTCATCTTCGTCATTATCTTGGTTTTGATTCCTTCCTATTCCATGTGAAGAAGACATCACATTATGTGCATCATAAGATGCATCATTGGTAGAAAACATGTTGTATGATAAATGATGACAAAAAAAAATCTATAACTTGGATTTTGTTCAAGCTAAGGTGGATAACATGAATTTGGTTGGTAAGAATGAGAACCATGAGATGATTCACTAATTTCATTATCATCTGTAGCTGAACTATATGATGATAAACCTGTAAAGTGTTCTCACATCCTTCTATGACTTCTATCATCATCATCTCTTCTATTTTGTGATGCATTTGATCTATACAATCCTGAATTATCATCGTAAGGATTTCTGGACGTACCTTGATCTCCATGAAAAGCAGTAGAATAAATGTGTCTATATTTTGGTTGGTATGTACCTTCATTATCACAAACATAATCATCACACAACCACCACCATCATCGTCGTCGTCGTTGTCACCATCATCATCAACATAACTTGACTATGATAACTGAACATTTTCCTCATTAGATGGAGTAGGTGAACTGTTTATATCTTCACCTTGAGTTTCTTCATCAGTTTCATTAAGTAACTCCTCAGGCAACCATGAGAAATTTTGTTCACTATCAAGTGTAACATTCTCTCTTTCTTCAATCCATGCATTTAATAGTTCACTCTCTTCAAAAATATTTTCAAGATTAATCAGATTAAAACCCAATTATAATTCTTATGCACTTTTTCTTTGCATGTGTCTCAGCTTCAACCTCTTATTATAATGGACATAAACCTATTATAATGGATATATATAAACCAAATTTTGTAGCTTTTTATGCTTGAGTCTATTTCTCTTCTTTGTATAGATCAAACTAAAAGTACTACAATTACACTCACAATTTGAAGATGAAGTTGTTTGACTTAAAATTTTGACAGCGATGCGTTGAAGTTGCGGTGCACAATTTTCATAATTAAGCCACCATTCAGCTACAAAAAACATAAATATTAAGATATAATTCATAAAGTATTTATACAAATATCTTTATTATCTACAAAATTAAAGAGGATAAATTCTTTTTCTTTACCAGGGTTAGTCTTCAAAATTGCAGCTTGAACTAATGGTGTTCCAAAAGAATCCATTTTGTCTCGATATAACAACAACTAAAAATAAATGAATTAGTAGTTTAAACATGATAATTTATGAATTTTTTTCAAACAAATTAAGTATATAAAATGTAACACCCCAATCCGTACCCGACCCTGATACAAATCTGAGGTGTCACATTGACTTTTCAAAAACTTTGACTTGTTGAAAATTTTAAACTTTTATTTGTATTCAAGTGGTGAAACCCTTAAATCAAAGTTACTATTGAAAATTCAAACTCACATTGAAATTAAATACTTAAAAATTTACATAAATATAAAATAATATGATTACAAAACAAATCAGAGCATTACAATTTAAAACTTTGTGATACATGTCAACAAAATTAAAAAATTATAAGAAACCTACGATTCAAATTGTTCTGATCTGATCTTCTTCAGAAGTATGATGTCCTCTCCTAGCTTTAACCCTCAGATTTCTTTGAACCTACATGTGAAACAATCACACGCTAAGTCGATGACTTAGTGAGGCAATAATGAGTATAATAAAGCATTTAAAAAATAATTGCTTAATCAATCCATATTAAAACACTTCATACTGAAATCAAACTACCTTTCATAAAATACATATATATTGTTACTCATTATTCAATTTATATCACTTTATTATTTTAGACCAATGCATATTACTGAGAACTCAAGGTATTTGAGTACATTGAGGTTGTGCACTAATGCAGTCACCACTGCTCATATAATTTGCACCAAACTGCCACGTAGAATTTGTCCCGAAGGACTACGTAGAATTTTTTCGAAGGAGCACGTAGAATTGTCCCGAAGGACTGCGTAGAACCCTCGACTCTTGGCATGCCAACTATACCTCTAATTTTCATACATATACCTTGGGCTTTAACTATATAATTATTTTTCATTTCATTATTCAAAGCGTGTCTTATCCACGTAGAGCACATTCACATAGGGTATTTTCACGTAAAAACATTCTCACTTTACACATTTTCACATGGAACATTTCCATATAAAACATATTCACATATAACATTTCCACATACCAATAAAATCAAAACAATAATTTGAAAATACACTTTAAATAAAGCATCATAAATAAATTTTGCATAAAGTAAATAAATTGTTTTCGATCAAAAATTTTGAGGTTGTCTTATCCAAGCCGTACTTATATTTAATATAAATAAATTAGTTGCATTCACCTTTGCCTCACGTAAGTTCTGTAACACCCCCAACTCGTATCCGACCTGAATATGAGTCTGAGGTGTCACATTGACCTTTCAAATCATTTAATTATATAAAATAGAAGAGAATTTCAGACTTAATTTGAATAAACTGAATAATTTTCATACATTAAATCAAAAAGTTTACAAAAAATGATCAGAGCGTATACAATTTAACTTTAACGTACATGTCAACACTATTTTCATATGATTCACATTCACATGTCACATGGCTTATATCTTATTCTTATATCTTCTCACAAACATATATTCACATAGTCAACCAATTCATCACATATACGAGTACTCATATGACTCATATCATTTCACACGTAGTCTCATAATTTATCCTTGCGTAGATCATATAATATTCTCATATATTCTCATATATTATGGTCACATATAGCATATCACATAGGATCATATTATATAACATGTATTCATGTAAATCCTATATAGAAATGCACTTAACATATAGACATATGCCTATACTCATGTACACATAAACATCATCTCAATATCATACTTGTATTAATGTACTCTTGTAATCTAATATAGGAATTAGACTCATCACAAGTCCGGACTTGTCCATATAGATATCAAAATTCGAATTACTCTGAAAGGTTCTTACTAATACAACTAAACAAAGTACTAAATTCTAACTTTCAACTTGAGTAGTATCAGTACTACAAGTACAGTATCAATACCTCTAGGCTTGTAGTATCGATATCATCCTTTCGTTATCGGTACCTATTCTTGATTCTGAAATTTCATTGTAAAAATGGTATCGATACTATTACTTCAGTATCGATACCCCATGAAGATTTTACCAATTTTTTCCTTATGGTATCGATACTGTTTATACATTAT